TCAGCCTTGATGTCCTTGAGTGAGCTGATACATCCAGAGCAACAATCCTGCTCAAAGTACAGAGTTTCTGATGCAGTCACATTGAGGAAGTGTGTGAAATGCAGAGGCTTCTTTTGCGTCAGATGTAAGGTACCATGGCATAGCGCTTGTCTGCTCCCTCTGCCTTCTACTCTCTTCTCTGTTCTCTTGTATTTTGTTTTGGTGGTATTGTTTATTATATTTCAGTAGGGATCAGCCTCTGATCCCTCCTGTTTCCTGAAAAAAAAGGTACCATGGCATGATAGGATGAGTTGCTACAGCTATCAGAGGAGGTACCCTGGTCGTCCAGAAGATGTGAAGTTGCAGAATCTAGCTCAGCTGAAGCTGTGGCGCCAATGTGTGAAATGCAAGCACATGATCGAACTTGCAGAGGGTTGCTATATCACATGACCTGCGTGTAAGGCCCGTTCTCTTCAATCTTTGCATATTGTCATAATTTTTTTTTGTTGAGGAAAACAGGAGAGTCAAGCCTCTACTGAGGCATATTGTCATAATTGTTGTAAAAGAAAAGAAAAATCTTTACTGATATATGTTATGAAGTTCCCTACCGACCTACACATTATGTCAGAAATACTCAAAGTTGGGCTGTGTTTAGTTCGCGAAATTTGGGAATTTGGTTACTGTAGCACTTTCGTTTTTATTTGGCAATTAGCGTTCAATCATGGACTAATTAGGCTCAAAACGTTCGTCTTGCGATTTCCAACCAAACTGTGCAATTAGTTTTTTTTCGTCTACATTTAATGCTCCATGCATATATCACAAGATTCGATGTGATAGCTACTGTAGCACTTTTTAGGAAACTTTTTGGGAACTAAACACAGCCTTGGTAACGTTAAAGCCTTGGCTGTATCTCTGATTCTCTGTTGTTGCGTGTTACAGGTGCGGCTATGAGTTCTGCTACACATGTGGGAAAGAATGGAAGAAGAAAGCAACCTGCTCCTGCCCACTGTGGGAAGAGCGCAATATAATTGATGATGATAGTGAAGATGACTACTACGGTGCAGAGGAGGATGGCTACTACGATGAGGACTACGATAACTACTACGGTGAAGACTACGATGACTACTATGGTGAAGACGTCGATGACGACGGTAGGCATTTGGTATAATTGGGTTTACTGGCATTACGAAAATGGAGGGCCCGGTCCACCGCAGCAACTACTGAGGTCAACTTCCAGAAATTTCACCCCGATTGTTTTTGTAATTGCAGCCGAGTCCAGTAGACAGTAGGGTTTCTAAACTCAATATTTGCTTTTAGCTAGCACCTTATCCACTTGTTCGTTGGAACTTGGAAGAGAAGATGGTAAAGCATGCTCGGTAGAGAGGCCCCATCTGTCTTTTCTGTCAGCCATTGTCGAAAGGTTTGGCTTGTACTCCCTCCGTTCATAAAAAAACATAATTCTAGCTTCGAACCTGGACACGCGATAGTAGGTACCTTATGACATGGCCTGATATGCAGCACTTCACTTGTGGGAGCGTCAGAACAGATCCTGACGAAGTGCCTTGTAATCTTGTTGCTGATCGCTGCGTCTCTTCAGTATGTTTTACAGTACATCTGCACATCAAACTTTTCTACGCTGGTAGATGATAGTCTATCTCCGGAGAAACATAAGTATGGCGTAGAACAAGGAGCTACTTCTTGTTCTTGCTTATATAACCTGGCAAGGCGCGTGAGTACGGTGAGTTAACAGTAAACCAACTTGACATGGTACCGATCCACGTCGGCAGTTGGTGAGTTGACCGATCGTGTGCAAGAGAGATGAAAATGAAACACAGCAAAAAAAAAAAAAAGGTTACGTGACAACTGGAGAACGGAGATGAAATCAAACTCATCTAGGATATATATAGTACTGACAAAACTGGATGAAGCTACATTTTACAGGCGGCTGCGCTGGAGCCGATACGCCAACGCACTAGCCACCTCCGGATGTCCCGCCAAGCCGCCGTCGCAGCGGCCCTCCGCAACAGCGAGGTAGTACCGTTGTATGGCGTCGAGGTCTCGCTCGATCATGTCCATCCAGGGACCGATCACGGTGCGTATCCGGCGCAGCTGGCTGAGCACCTCCATGAACTCGGCGAAGGTGATGGTGGGCGAGCGGTTGTGTCGTCCCCGGCGGCGATTCGCTCCAGCTCATCGTGAATTTCCCTGGCCCGGGCTGTCAGCTCCTCCACCCACACGACCTCCTGGCATACCTGGGCATACAGAGCGTCCACGGCTGCCAAGTCTGTCGCCATGCCTGCGTTATCTCGGTGCAAACTAATCTCAGCTCTATATCTGTATATCCGCTATGCGTGCATGGGTCGCTGGGACGCACGGCACGAATCAGGAGGCTTTGCTTATTATTTATAGGGCTGATGGAAATGCTGGACTGCGGAGAGGACGCACTCAATCCATGACACGAGTCGGGATTCGATCGGAACCGAAAATTCGGAGTTTGTTCCACATCGGACTTCGAAGTTGGGAAGCTTTCCGTTTCGGAAATGCTCTGATCCGAGCGTCCGATTTCTCTTCCAGAGTACCGGACGGACGCGGAGCCACGCCAACTTTAATATTCTCGTGTACTCCGGTCTAGCTGACGCCACCGCCGTTTATTCTTATCCTCAGGGGGGCATTTCACAACAACAAAAAATAATATTATTGTATACCATTGCTCATATTCTTCCTGTTCTGTAGTTTTGAGTTAGTTGTGAGGGATCAGTAAACTTGTTGCTGCAAGTCAGTTGTTTAATAGATCTGATGACACTGGAACTGGAACTTGCCTACTTTGTGCTGTAGCTGAGATGTTCGGAGACTCTATGTAGTTTTATTTTATATTCTCTGAATTATAATACACTCTTCTTGGGTTTTAGGGTTCTCATTTTGGTCATGTGGATGGTGTGCTGACATGTGTTTGAGAAAAATAAGTATAGCTTGTTTGGTCAGTACTAATCTGAAGCACTATAAATACGGAGAGCATACTGATGGAAATAATTTCAGGCTCTATTGAATTTACTCTTTTATAGCTTCTCTTGGGATTTCAGTCTTTTCTCCGAATATAGGAATTATTGGATTCCCTTATGCTGATCCATCTTGTATTGTTACTAAATCTTAACTGTTCATTTCAGAAAATTCAGTTGTGGCATTTCCATTCAGTGTCCAGAAATTTCAGTTTTTCCTTCGCAACCAATAAGCAGTATGCTGATCTTGTTACTGCATGCCAACCAATTTTAATTGCAGTTCTGTATTTTAGAACTTTGCTGTAAGAGATCATAGTATTATTTATACTGATGGGATTAGAAAATGTAGCTTTTCTATTGTGTACTATAGAGACTCTGAAGTATAGTTTTGAACAAATGATTGCTGCATGTTCAGAGACTCACTATTTGGGTATTTGGGTTCTTTTTGCGTGCACATACATCTGTTTGAAAAAATGGTATTATTTGGTTAGGAGCTAGGGCTAATATGAAGCAAGCAATAGATAAGTTTAGGGACATTGATAGACACAAATTCAGATTTTGCCGTTATTTACAGATTCTCCTGGGATCTCAGTCTTTATCGCAAATTGTAACAGTATATACCAAATACAACAATTATTGGATTCATTAACCACCTCGTAACTTCAGGAAATTCAGTTGTGCCAATACTTTGATTCACTGTTTAGAAATTTCAGTTTCTTCACTTGTCACTCGATGCCTTATTTAGAATTATATGTCACCGTTTTAACATTTTCCCTTGTGAATGCAGCGGCTTTGGCATTGCGTCACCCAGATGTTGATGCACAGTAGAGGAATACAAAAGCAGGACTTCTAACAACAACATCACGGTTCATCTCTTCAGGATCCAGCTATTGCTGCTACGGATACAATGGGATGAGAACTGGCTGAACTTCTTTTGTTCCCATAGTGATAGTTTCAGAAAACTCAGGAACTCCACTTGTGGTTTGAATCTTTTAGTTTAAGTACTACAAATGAGTGAAGCACTGTGGGGGAAAAGTGCTTGAACGATTTTGTACAGTTTCATTGGTTGTAATTGCCATCATCAAATCTGTAGGTGATAACAAGAATATGTTCCCTTCTGAAAGAAACGAAGTAAATGTTGGTAGTTCACTCTGTATCTTGCTCCCTGGATGTGCAGGAAAAGGGTTCTTTCATTTATGTGATGAAATAAAACCTCCAAATCTGAATAACTTTTGCTCCTGAATCCTATTGTATAAAATATTACAGTTAATGTTTCTGAACTTAGTTTTCAGAGCACTCTCAAAAAAAAACATGGTTTCATCTTTGTGAGAAGTCAATAAAGAAATGAACACTATGCACATGTGCAGCGTCAACAATGGTCTACCAGACTACCAAGGAGATCTTTTACTTCAAATTAGTGGCAGCCGTCGGTCTGGTCTCTCCTCTAATCTTTCGCTTTGACTGAGTATAAGCGCAGAGGCGATCTATGCGTCCATGACCATGGCATGAACCATGAAGGTTTTTCTTTGCACAGGTCCTTAATGGGAGACAGTCCCAACTCTGAACCAAAATACTAGAGGCTTGTGTAGTTTGTGTTCTTATACTTGAGACCAACATATAGAGCGATACTAATGATCGCATGCCACCCCTTTCTTGCTCTGCAGTCTGAACCTCTGGCTGAACTTGAAAAGGACCCTTCGCCAACTTCTGTGGACCCACATGCCAGTGGCTGCAGCCTGGCAGAACCGACTCGTTTCCCGGCCCTGACTGACCCCACCTGCCAGTGGACAGCTGGCCTATCCAGCAACCGACCTACGCTTGTGATTCCACCAGAGCCCAGCCCAGCCCAGCAGAAGAAGGCCCGTCGCCTTGAAATTCCCCGCCCCGCCTCGGTGCCCAAACGTAACTGCCGCAACAAACTCCTCTCCCTCTTCTTCTTCTTCTCCGTTTCCCCTCGCAACGCAACAGCGCCAACGCCAAGCAACCCAAGCCCCCGCCCTCACAGCAAAAGAACCAGCGCCGGCGATGGAGGCCTTCACCGACCGGACGCACGTGTGGCTGTGGATCCGCGAGTACGAAGCGTACCTTTACGCCAGAGAGGACGGGGAGGGCATCTCCTTTAGAGCGAACCGTGGGGCGCTGCACGGAGCGTGGGCGCTGCACCGCCTGGTGCGCGACGGCACCGACTACGTGCTCTTCCACAGCGCCTCCTACGGCCGGTACCTCACCCAAATAGAGGACGAGGACAACGAGTGTTACTACCTCGTCCAGTGCACCTACGATTCGGAGCAGGTGAGCGTCCTGTTTCAGGCCCGCAGGGCGGAGGATGGATCCGACGACATCATCATCAGCAACCGCAGGTTCGGCGACTGGTGCCACGACAACGAGGGCACGCCAATGCATTGGGTGGTCGAGGCTATCCCCCGAAGACAGCTCCCGCCTGAGCTTCCAGTTCCACCAGATCCGATTCCGGTGAGCTCGCCGTCCCCTCCGCTTCGAACTCCTCGCGTTGGTCTGGGCCTAGAAGGGTTCTTGGAATTTGTCCGACGACATCCCATTCAAACTTGCTTAATGATGGGATTCTTCTCTCTGTTACTGTGACTATTAGTTACTGAATCTTTGATGCAGTTCTTAGTACAATTTGGGCTAAGATCACTATTTCTTTTGCTCAAAAGTTTTCTTGGGGGAGCAGAGGTTCTGGGCTCTTGAATTCTTGCTGCTCTGCTTTTGGTTCGCTTTAGGGAACAGTTCTTGATCAGAAATTCAGAATATCAGATAGTCTTTGTTGTCTTCCCATTTCGTACCACCAGCTATCCAAAACTTATTGTCTATTCTAGAAATTATTTTGCTAGACGTCTTGGGATGTTCCTAACAGTATAGGAAAATGCTGACAGCTGCATCAATTTGTTCCTGTTATTCCTTGACCTGCGTTAGTTCAGTGGGTTACCGAGAGTTTTTTTTATATATATAATTGGAATTCTTTCTCGCGACTTGTTTTCTGAATAATTTGAGCCATGCATGGTTGTATTTTCTTGCCACATACTAAAAGGACTGGATACCTAGGTCTGAACATTTTGTTCTCATCGCAATGTGTATTTAGACCTCCCATTCCCAGTGTTGTCTGCTTGTTTCGGTTTCCCAAACACTAGCGTTCTGCTTGTTTTGGTTTCCTAAACACCAGTGCTTTGCTCCACTGCAACAGCCTCCACCGGTCGTCGGTGGCCCGATCCGCCGCCGGCGCCGGGGCGTCCAGCCACAAGCGCCTCAAGCGGTGCTTCGTCGGACAATCCTCTACGTGCGGGCGGACGATCAAGGGAACTTCAATCCGCTCCAATGGAGAATGTTATTACAGTTCAAAGGCCAGTCCGTGTTCAACCTGAGGAGAGATTTAGCAGCCGAACTGGGTGAAGCGAACAACGTCTTAAGCATCACGCTGTGTGCGTGGGCCGGCTCAAACGGGCGGCTGACTCCTCTGGTCATCGACCTGCCTTCCAATGAGAAGACCATGAACATCGTCGTCCTCACCACCGGGTCGCCAGGTATGAACTTGCTGGTTTTTGTTTTTCGGTAATCTCTGCAGCACTTGTTACTCTTCTCATGAAAGGTGTTCAGTTGATCAAACTGATAAGAGTACATTTACTAACTTGAATACTGATGAGGTCTGCAGTTCTGTTGTTTGGACTTTGGCACTTTGCTGTGAGAGATCAGTGAACTTGTAACTGTAACTGTAAAACCTGTAACTATAACTTGCCAGCATAGTAGCATGTACTTAAGCTCAGATGTGCAGAGAGTTTCTTTAGTTTTGATTTTGAATGTATATATTTGGCTAGTTGCTGCATCCAGTACCCTCTTCTTGAGTTTTTGGGTTCTTTTTGTTGTTTTAGTAATGTAGTTTCCAACATCTGTATGGTTTTTGGGTTCCTACAATAACATGTTTCAGAAAATGGTTAGCATTAATCTGAAACAAGCTACTGATAAGCAGAGGTATATTGTTAGAATTATTTTCATGTTTTTGTTGTGTTTACAGCTTCTCTTGCATATCAGTCTTTTTGTCGATGCTAAAAGTAGTGGGAATGTTGAAATAACTAGATTCATTGTTACCCCGTCAGTTCAGAACATTGTGCCACTATTTTGACTCACTGTCCAGAAATTTCAGTTCTTTTTTGAACGAACAGAAATTTCTGTTTTCTTTTAAATGTCTTCTTTTGAACTGACGCAACAATCGCATCACCAATACTTGCTTCCTAGCGCCTAAATGTTTCACTATTTTTACTTGTTCCCTTGTGAATTCAGCTGCTCAGGAGTTAGTGTACCCAAATGTTGATGCTGCATAGAGGTATAGCGGCTTCAGATACAATGAGACAAGAACTGGTTGTGCTTTTCTGCTCTGAAAGCTTCAGAAAACGAATACTCAGCAAGTCCTGTTTTTGGTATTAGTAGAGCTCATGCTCTGCTGACTGTAAGCGTTTTGAATTGGCCTTGAAGTTTCAGAACTTGAAAATTGCTGGATGCATTGTGTGAAAAATAATGCCTGAACGACTTTGTACAGTATCAAATCAAGGGTTGTAGTTACCGTCTTTACTGAATGGTTTAAACCTACTTTTCTGAACTTAGCCTTTTTAGTCATGAGCTGAAAATCACTGTTGTATCGTTTGTGTGATGAAGCTCTGCACAGAAGTGCAGAACCTGTTCGACTGCTCGACAGTTGACGATACATCGGAAACGCCTCTTCCTTTTCTTTCAGTTTTATTTATATGAGCAGAAGCGCAAGGTGGCTTGTAGAGATTTAAGTATGAACCGGTGTAACATCAGTGAGGAGCTAGTAGGACACTGTTAAAATATGGAACTTTAGCTTTCAACAAACACAACACATGTGATAAATTACCGGAACATTGTTTAGTAAACTATTGGTGCAACATTGCTAACCATGAATCAAATGCTATAACGTTTCAATGAATTATTCAATAAAAAGTTAAATCTAATTGCACGTGGACGTTAATAAATGAATGTACATAAAAAACAGGAAACACATGACATGCACCTACACCAAAGTTAATTGTGGGCTCAGTGCAGAGTGCTAAAACAAAAAGGGTCTATTTTCACATTCCAACCATTGTCTTAATTTATTTTTGTCGTGTAACTATAATACTAGAATTTTTTTACCAGAGTTGTCAATACCAGATAAATTTGTCCACCTAACTAGTTTCAGAGTTGGTTTGTATTTTTTGAAAATGATAAAAGTTATTTTATTTTCTAAAAACTCATAACTAATTCATCTAAAATTAGAAAAAAAATGAAACCACCACAACTTTTCTTAAAATAAAAATGTGCCTATTGGTGCTAGATTTGGATGTATGTGGAAATTAGTTATAATTGTTCCTAGTGTTTTATTGCTGGTAGTCATATCAGTTATTTATTTAAATTATAACTTTGTGCTATTATAAACCTAGAGACTAGAGAATAGAGATCGATCAAGACTAGTGATCAACCAAGAGAATGCATAATCAAATATAGTTCCAAATATGTTGGCCTTAAATTTGACCAATTATTTTTCTTGAGAGCTGGCGATTCCATAATAGTTGAAATTGCTAAATATGATCTATATTTGATAGAGCATGGCACCTACAAAGTTGGTGTCGTCTTACATATCTTTTGTTTATACTCATAGTTTGCTATGAATTCTCTACTTCAATCTCGGATATAATGTAGTGCAAAACGATGATTTAAATAAAGAATGAACATGACTAAAAGTAATAAGACACTAGGAATATGAATCAATAAAAATACCAATTACTCCAAGTAGAGCACAAACTTATGGATTGTCTTTTTAGAAAAAGTTCAATACCAGTTTCATATCTCTAAAATAATTAATTATTTACTTTTAGGAAATAAACATGCTTGCATTATTTTTAGAAAAATACAACACTACCTTTGAAACTAGCTAGATGGCCAAAATATTTTAATATTAATAGTTTGGTGGTTTTTTAAAGTTGTATTATGACAAAAAAAAGAACTCTAATAGTTGTAGTTGAATAGCTAAAAATGGACTTAAAAAAAGCACACTGTTGTCTCGTTTGAATCAACCAGAATGCTTCTTTTATTAGCTCATAATTAAATTACAATCACCATCGGATGGCGACAAAAACCAGACATGTCTACCAAGAGACATGGATACATAGCTCGTAGCTAATCTATGCGTATCCACGTTCGAATTCCTTCGTTCATAGACGAACTCCACATGGGGAAGGTTGCTCTCCTTATCTTGATGTCCTTCACTATTGGCCCCTATAGCGTCATTCCCTCTCCATGGATATTTTTCACTGCATTGATACAGTCGCAAGGCACCCTAAACTTGTGTAGTAGCAGTCTGATGCTATCGTTTCCACTACTTCCGGACTGGTTATGCCTTCCAACACTAGCACTGATGCTCCCAAAAAATTCCCTGCTTCATCTCTCGCTACTGCAGTTGTGGCAGAAAGATCGAAGGCCTTTGCCATTGCTGCATCAACATTTATTTTTGCAAGACCAGGTGGTGGGGTAGCCATCTCGATTCTCGACGACAACACTGGCAGTCCGCCCCTGCTACTCCCCTCAGCCGGCTTTTTCTTTGTCAGATTAACAGAAAATTTTAGCCTCAGGTTTTGGCTGAATCTGGCTGAAAAACACTGTTCCGGCTGAATGGTTACGAGAGAAAAACACTGTTCAGGCTAAAAAAACAAGCCGAACAAGTCGAATATAGGGTAAGCCGAGCGGGGGCTGAATCATCAACCCAGAATGCTAGAGCCGTCCACTGTGTATTACAAATAATTTGTTTAAATGAAATTATTGTTACAAATAAATAATTAGCCATTGGCCCCAGAAGCCAGTGTAATTACCCTGACTGGCCCCACCTGCCAGTGGACAGGTGGCATCCGGCCACCGACCTACGCTTGCGACTGCTCCAGGCACCACCGCAACAGAGACCATGGCCTTCAAATTCCCCGGCCCGCCTCGTCGCCCAAACGTAACCGTCGCAACGAACACCTGCCCTCCTCGTCCTCACAACAGCGCCAAGAAACCAAGAAATCCCACTCCCTCGCCGACGCCCGCCTCCGCGCGCCCCTCCCGGCGATGGAGTTCTTCCCCGACGGGATGCACCTGCGGCTGCGGAACCGCAAGCACGGCACGTACCTCCACGCCGACGAGGACGGCGTGTACGTCTCCCTGAGCCTGCACCGCGCCTCCCTGAACACGGCGTGGCAGGTGCACCGGGTCCTCCGCGACGGCGGCAACGAATACGTCCTCCTCCACAGCGCCGCCTACGGCCGGTACCTCGCGCTCTCGCCGGACCAGGTGTCGCTGGTCTACGTCGGCCACCACGCCGTCCAGGGCGTGTACGAGAGCCCAGAGCAGGACGACGTGCTCTGGAGGCCGTCTGGGTGGACGACGAAGGCGGCGACGTCCTCATGCTCCACGTCTCGAACCGTCTCCTCCGCGCCGCCCCCTGGAACCCACTCTTGAACAGCCGCGTCTTCGTCGACATCGACAATGCCGGCTCGATGATGCATTGGGTGGTCGAGGCCATCCCCCTGAGACCGAAGCCGCCGCCACTGCCAGCCGTAACTCCGGTGAGCTCGCCGTCCCCCTCCCATTGCAACTTTTATTCAGTTTACATGCATGAAGGCCTCGAACAAACGAAACTTGATGATAGTATTCCCCTTCCCTTGGCACAACACAATTCTTGCTAAATTTGGCCAGATTTTCCTACTACGTTGTACGTTGTTACTGAAGATGTCTGTTACTGAATTCTGCCTGATGTTGATGCAATTCTTTGTACATTTTGTGCCAAGATCACTACTACATTTGTTCAGAACTAGTTCTGTCCGGGTTCTTGAATTCTTGCTCCCTGCATTTGGTTCGCTCTGAACATTTTGTTTCTTTGCGGCATGTGTTCAGATTTGTTCATTGAATACCAGCATTGTCTGCTTGTTTTGGTTCCATTGCAACAGCTTCCCATTGGAGTTGTGTTGTGGCGGACGATCGTATACATGAGGGCAGATGATCACGGGAACTTCGGTCCGCTCGCTAGGAGAACATACGAATTCAGCGGCAGGTCCTTGTACCAACTGACGGGCGACCTGGCGAACCAGCTGCGCGAACAGTCCCACCGCATCACGCTGTGCGTGCGGGCCGGCTCCCATGGGCGGCTGACCCCTTTGGACATCGACCTGCCTTCCAACCAGCAGGCGATGGAGATCATTGTCCTCACCACCATGTCACCAGGTGAGCTTTGCATATTTTTCAGTAGTCTGTGTAGCACTTGCTTGTTATCTCATGATAGGTGTTGAATTGATCAGACGATGACAGTAGGAGTATACACTAGCTTTAATATTGTGTACCATTGCTCATATGCTCATTCCTGTTCTGTAGTTTTGAATTACTTGTGAGGATTGAGGAATCTGTAAACTTTTTGCTGCAAGTTAGATGTTCAGTAGATCATAGCGTTATACTGATGACAGTGGAAACTGTGTCTTGCTTAATGTGTGCTTTAATTCAGATTTTGAAAAATTTTGTTTGGTTAGGACTAAACTGAATCGCTATAAGTAAGGAGAGCAGATTGATGGAAATAGTTTCAGGTTTTGTTGTATTTATTTACACATTTATAGTTTCTCTTGGGGTTTCTATCTTTTTTCTCTGAATACAGAAATTATTGGATTCGTTGACGCTGATCCATCATGTTACTGAATTTTAACTGTCCAGTTCAGAAAACTCAGTTCTAACATTTGCATTCACTATCCAGAAATTTCAATTTTTGTAGCTGTCAACCAATATGCTGATCTTGTTACTGCATATCTTAACTGTTGCAACACTTGTTGCACCAATATATACTACCTAGTGCCTAATTGATCCATGTTCCCTTGAAATTAAGCGGCTTCGGTGTTGCGGCACCCAAATGTTGATGCACCGTAGAGGAATACGAGAGCAAGTCCTCTAACAACGATACAACAGTGTCTCTCTTCAGAAATCAAGTATTGCTGCTTCAGATCAGATACATGGGATGAGGAACTTGTTGTTTTTGTTTTGATGAGTTCAGCTGACTTGAAATGGTTTGAGTTGGCATTTCTTGTTTCAGAACTTTCAAATGGGTGGAAGCATACGTGGAGAAAAAATGCTTGAAACATTTTGCACAGTTTCATTGGTTGTCATCTTCATCTCTGTTAGGTGCTACTGAGAGCAAATGTTCCACCACTAGAAAACACAGGAGCAAAATATAGCTAGTTTATTACTCTGTCCTCCACGGACGTATAGGCAAAGGGTTTCAGTCAATGTTTCTGAGGATGTATAGGCAAGGGTTTTAGTCAATGTTTCTGAACTCAGCTTTCAGTCGTGAGCCTACCAGTCATGGCTTTATCATTTGTGTGCCATGCTCTGCGCACAGCTTTTTTTTCCCGAAAAATCTCTGGGCAAATCTTCGTTAACTAAATCTCTTTTTATATACTTTGAGCACTGAGCAGATATAGAGAGGTGTATTTGTAGATAGCACACGTGTAGCAAGGCATCAACTGCTTGGTTAGTTATAGAAAAAAATCTGCTTGGTTGTGTGGACTATGTATACTGCTTGGTTGCATCGTTTGCAAGTCCTCCGTTCTAATTCTAACAGTGACAGTCCGTCAGTCCTAATCTTCTTATATGAATCCTGCCTCCAAAAGCTGGCCAGCCAGCTTGCCACGTCGCCTGCTTTTCCCGGCCGTTCGATACTTTAGTCGAATCAACCCGTAGTCCAGGCCTCCTCTCAAGTTTTTTTTTTCAAAAAAAGCCCTCGAACTTTATCGAAATCAACCCTCAGTCTCTTCCCCTCCTCCAGCTCCCGTGAAAAGAAAAACGCCGCGCCGCCTCCACCTCCGCCTCCATCTCCCCACCGCCGCGCGTGCCCCGGATGTCGCGCCCAGTGCCTCGCCGTTGGCTTCCTTCCTCAGATCCACTTCACCTCCTCCGTTCCCACCGGTGTGCTGGCGGACTTCTCGGAAGAAGGACGGAGCGGCCGAAAGCAAGGCAAAGGTGATGGCCGGTGGCGGCGGCACCTTGCCGGGGTTCTTGGGGAGGAAGAACCGGTAAGCACGCGTGGACGCCATGCTCCCGCAGGAGCTGCAGGACGGCGGTGGCGTCCGTGTTCGCGGCTGAGGCGACAGCTGCCGGAGATACGTCTTTGCCTGCTCCGTCTTCGCGTCCCTCAACCATGTCCTGCTCGGCTACGGTGAGCAGATCTCCACTGAAAGTCTCGAATGGCGTTTCGTTCTTGATGCAGATCTGGTCTTACTCATTCAGCTACAAATTACTGTACCTTCTGCTTTCTTCGGTTGTTTATTTAAGCAAGCAAATAAAATATATAATGGTCTAATCTTAGATAAAAAAAAACTATGCTATCTTGCATAATAAAAGTCATTCAAAATATTTTTCGTAATCAATCTGTTAATGCCAATCTTGACCGTACTAAAACTACTCTGCAAATACTCTGGCAGAAATGTTTTCAAGTCTAGCATATGTAATGGGATGATGTCAAATTGTTCTGCAAATTCAGTTGGTGTCTCATTTACTAGGATGCTCTTCCTCATCTTGATGGAACTGTTGAAATAAACCTGCAGAATGTATAGCTTTGTGTCTTTGACATATTTTCACCGACATTGTTCATTCATGTCATCATGTGTTGGTGTGTCCAGATGTGGGTGTGATGAGCTGCCGCATCATCTTCATCCAGAAGGACCTCCGTATCACGAAGGTGCAGCAAGAAGTGCCCTTCCTCTATTAGATTTCAGGCCTCGCAACATTTGCAGATTTGGACATCTTTTAACTTTTATCGTCTGATATTTCAATTGCAACTTTACAAAGCTGCTCCTTCTATAATTTACATGCATGTACCTTCTATAGTATAGAGTAAGTTATGTAGACAAGGTTTCTCTATCATTCTTATATGTCTCTCCAAATGGAATTTGTTTGATGCTTCACAAGGTGCTACCTTACGGTGCCATCATGCCAAGATTTACCACGGCTTGCGACTTTTAAAGACGGTATGTTGTTAGCCCGCAATTTTTTTTTCATTTCCTCTTTCATGCATTTTGTTTGATTGATGGGGAATTGAATTATCATATGAATTGCTGCTGCATCACCTTCATAATAAAAGGTCAGGTTTTCATCTCTCAGAGGTGCACTCTTTGATTACGTGTCTCCTCTATTCAAATAATATATATGTATTTTGAGTAAATATTATGGTCAACTTTCGTGGTCTGCTTTGTATGGTGTTTAGGCTAACTATTGCTAACCTAAAACTCAAACCATTACAATGGCGTCTCTCCTTCCTCCCGCCGCTCCACTATCCCCTCGCCGATCGTTAATTTGTTATGAATAGTATATGTGAAAAGTGGTGGCTCATGATAATCGGATCGAGCTTGCACATACAAGTGACCCTTCACCCAAGAGCGTGGCAACGCGCCGCGCGTCTTTCTAGTTTGAACCATAAAGGTTTGCAATGCTCGCATCATTTACCGCTTTGAGCGGGCAGCGAAAAAGACTCGCGCCGCACCTTCTTCGGGCGGGCCACGGTTACCTTCCGTGGCCCACATGCTAGTGTCTTCAAACTTCGTGGTCCCACACGCCGATGTTGGTCGTAGGTTCATATTGCGGCCCGGATCGACCCCTCATGGCCACATGCAAGAACCGACTGCGCGCTTACGACTCACGTCTCGCGCGCACAAGTTGCTCTCAAGTTACAACGAACGGAAACGCTGGGATTAGGGCATCCGAACGATTATCTTTCCATCGGACGCCTCATCCACCGCTAATTATCTTTCCGTCGGACATCTTATCCACCGCTAACTCCCCACTCATGAGTTAACAAAAAAAATCTCCACTCCCTGCTCCTCGAACGCTTGCATATCCTCCTTTTCCTGCTTGCTCCCAGCATCCACCCACATGTCTTCCTCGCCACCGTGCTTTGCTCCCAGCTGATCCCCACCAACCTCCGTTTCCTCCCATGGATGGCATCCGTACGTACGGACGAGTCTGCACCCTGTAACCCCCCACTCCGCCTCGTCCGTCGTGACTCCCCACCCACCCTCTGCGCCACTGAGGTCCGCATCGCCAGCAAACACACCTGCGACCTGCGCCGTCCACCCGCCCTATACGCCACCGCCGCCCGTGCCACCCCCACCCTACCCTCTGTGAGCAGCTGCACAGCTCCGTGTTGTCGGCGAGCTCCGTGTCGCCGACAAGCACACCGGTGACCTCCATGCGCCGACAAGCCTACATTCGTTGAAGCAGCAAAGAGATGTTTTGCGTTGAAAGCGCATGTTGCAACCATATATTTCAAGTGTTTCAGAGGTATGTTGATGTTTTATATCAATGTTGCAAAAATAGATCGGGATGTTGCAAAAGTAGATCGGGATGTTGCACATATTATAATGGCTATACACGTATGTTTCAAGTATATGTTTTAAGTATTTCATACGTATGTTTCAGTGTTTCAT